TCAGTTTTATTCTGGAAGGTAGTAAAAGTGATACACTGTGGTTGTTTATAGTGTCTGACTAGACAAGGGGTTGGCAACCTACAGCACATGTGCCATAAGTGGCACACAAGCCAATTCCTTTCCCCATGCAACAGGGAGCCCACACTGGTGCAGGAGACCTCCCCCTTCTCCAAGCAGCAGGTTAGGCTGCACCATGCCCAGCGGCGTAGGAGGAGGCAGTGCTAAGGCCGAGGCATCTGCGGCCAAGACAGCAGCAACTCAGAGGCTTCTCCAGCGTCTGGGGGACAGCCCAGGACTGTGTAGCCATGGCAGCAGTGCTTCTGGCCTCCAGGGCCAGCCCAGGACTACATGGCTGTGGCAGCGGCAACTCCAGCCCCAACCAGGGACTGTGAGGCTGCAGCAGTGGTGCCTCTGGGGCAGGCCCGCATGGCCGTGGCAACAGCACCTCAGGGGCCAGCCCAGGAGCATGTGGCCACATCAGTGGTGCCTCTAGGTGGGCCCAGGATCACGGCGCCTCCAGTCTCCGGGATCAATCCAGGATTGCGTGGCCATGGCAGTGGCTTCTCCGGCAGCTGGGGCCACCATCTTGGACAGTTGGGAAGTCACCACACAGCCATGGCCCCAGCTTTAACTCTGGGGAAGGGCTGGAGCTAGATGAAGGCCACGTGGTAGCTACTCCTGGGGCAGGCCACAAGGCAGCTGCTGGGGATCGGTGTGGCATGGGAGTGCCAGGGAGCTGCTATGCCAGTGGCTGCTGATGTGGTGGCAGAATCAGGCTGTTGTTCTTTTGCCATCATCACTGGTGGAGCGGCACTGGAGACAGAGGCTGTGTACTGCTTAAAGTATCAAACTACAAGCCCGAGATTGGAGAACTCAGCAAGGGAAAGCAAAGCCAAGGATCACATTAAACGGTAAGATATGTATCTTAATGTATTTGTTAATGAAGCTGCTAAAATGTAAGCAGGACCATTCTGACTTTAAAAAGTATCAATAGCAATGTGGCGGCGTACACACACCCCATCACAGGGGTGAGGACACTGCCCAATTAGCTGCAGGGTTGCCAGCCATCTCTATAATCCATAAATCTCCCTTTGCAGTCCAGGGTAGCAAGCACAGTGCCCAAGGTCAACAGTGCTGTCCTTTCTCTCAAGGCAATACAGTCTACTGGTCAGAGTCCTCCATGGTCAGCCCTCACTCCGAGCCGTTACTGCCTAGTGCCAGACTCAGTAAGCAGCCCTGGTCTCAGGGCAGTATGGCCTAATGGACAGAGTCAGTAGGTGGCCCTCATCTCAGGAGAACCCAGAAAGTCAGTGAGTAGCCCTTGTCGCAGGGCAACACGGAGAGTCAGTAGCCCTGGTTGCAGGGCAGTATTGCTCAATAGCCCTTGGCTCAGGGTGGCATAGCAGGTTGGTTAGTAGCCCTATTCGCAAGGCAGAATGGTTGACTGGCCAGAATCTATAAATGGCCCTTGTCTCAGGGCAGGGTGGCCTAGTAGCCAGAGTCTATAAGAAGCTCTTGTCTCAGGACAGTGTGGCCTCATACCCAGAGTCAGTAAGGTTGGGGGCTAGTGTCCTGGTAGGGGGACCCGGGCCCACCCTGCTCCACCAGATCCTGACTAAGGGCCCTGTGAGCAGCAGATCGGTCTACCGCTCCCTTGGCAGCGAATCCAGACAAAACACGCCAAGTGTACCTAGGCAGGAGAGGCCACTCCTGCACCCTCCCTGGGTCACTTCCTACCGGTGATGCTGAAGTGTCATCCCACATAGCAGCTGGGTCTCCCGGTTCCCTGGCAGCGGCTACTCCCTGGGGCTCCGCTGGGTCTGTGTAGCAGCAGTCTCCGGGAACTTGGGTTCCCACTGTCTGGACCGCTGGCTGTTGCAGCTCCAGAGCTCTGGTTGGAGGTTCTTCCTCTTTGCTGGCCAGCCCAGACTGAGCTGCTCTGCTGCCTTTTATGCTGTCCCAGCATTTGGAGCATTCCCAGTTTGAGTGAAGGGGCAGGACTTCCACTGCCCACAGGGTCTTAACTTCACACCCCATCACAGGCATGCAGGCTACGGATGTAACAGTATAATTGATTAACCAAGCTTATAGGTTAATGTTATAGACTACATGCATTTCCCTTCCCCACCTTCGCCAGTACATTTTTTAGCAGGGGAGGGAGATGGAGGAGGCTACTGCTCCACATGAAGAGCAATGGCAGTTAAAATCGGAACAGTCCCATATGGGTGGCGTACAGATCCAGTGGGGAGGCTCGTGTGCCATTGAAAATATATATATCTGTTAGTCTCTAAGGTGCTACAGGACTTCTCATTGTGTTACAGCAGGCTAGTATCATCTGGAAATTTTGCCACCTCACTGTCTCTCTCATTCTCCAGATCATTTATGAATATATTGATTAGGACTGGTCCTAGTACAGACCCTTCTGGGACACCAATAGTTGCCACTTTCCATTCGGAAAACTGACTATTTATTCTTACCTTTTGTTTCCTAGCTTTTCTCCAGTTATCAGTCCATGAGGGGCCCTTCCCTCCTATCTCATTACAGCTTACTTTGCTTAAGAGCCTTTGGTGAGGGACCTTGTCAAAGGTTTTCTGGAACTCTAAGTACATTATATCCACTAAGTTTCCCCTTGTCCACATGCTTGTTGACCTCCCCTCAGAGTATTCTAGTAGATTAGTCAGGCGTGACTGCCCTTTCACAGAACCCATGTTAACTTTTCCCCAACAAATTATGTTGATCTATGTGTCTGACAATTCTGTTCTTTACTATAGTTTCAACCGATTTGACCAGTACTCAAGTTAGACTTACTGATCTTAAATTGCCAGGGCCACCTCTAGAGCCCTTTTTGAGAATCGGTGTCACATTAGCTATCTTCCAGTCATTTGGTAGAGAAAATTATTTCAAGGGTAGATTATAAACCACAGTTAGTAATTCTTCAATTTCACATTTAAGTTCTTTCAGAACTCTTGGGAGAATGCTGTCTGGTCTTGGTGGGTGATTTGTTACTGTTAGTTTATCATTTGTTCCAAAACCTCCTCTAATGACACCTCAATCTGGGACAATTACTCAGGATTTGTCACCTAAAAAGAATGGCTCAAGTCTGGGAATCTCCCTCACAACCTCAGCTGTGAAGACCAATGCAAAATCATTTTGTTTCTCTGCAATGATCTTATCAACCTTGAGTGATCCTTTAGCATCTCGATCATCCTCAGCCCCTCTAGAAGTCTAAATAAAATGGGTGAACTAGTGTTTTTATATAAGCACTTTAAACTATTGTCACTATTTAGAGGTCTGCCATTACCTGATATGACTGAATGGGACTCTTTCACATGATCGTCTCATCTTACCCATATCTTATCTTCTATCCGCTCCTTTTACTAATAGGACATAGAGAATCTCTATTAAAATTAACCCTCCCCTAAGGGATGTCTCTATCCAATATATAGTAAGACAGAAATAATCCCTTTCCTAATTATACCTAACATTGTTTGCTTTTGACTGCCACTGCACATTGAAAAAAAATGAGTGGTCCTGTAGCACCTTAGAAGCTAACGTGTGTGTGTGAGAGAGGGAGATGAAGAGGGAGAGACAGACAGACAGACACTGACTTTTGTGGGCACAATCCACTTCTTCAGATATTCACAAAAGTTCATGACACTAGATACATATACACATACACATACATATATACACACACAGTCTGTAAGGTGATACAGGACCACTCTTTTTTAAAAAAAAATTTCTTCATGTTACAGACTAACATGGTTACCCCTCAGACTTTTTTTACTACTACATACTGAGTGGATGTTTTCAGAGACTTATCCATGATGACTCCAAGATCTCTCTGAGTGGTAACTGTTAATTTAGATCTCATTAATTTAAATGTATAGTTGGGATTATAAAGTTCACTCAAGAAGAGATGCTACTATTTTAAGTTTAATCATTAGGTAGAGTGCTACTTAATTGGTGATATCATTAGGATTTAATCACAGTTAAGCAGTATAAAACTGATAAAGATCATTTAACTATTTTTAAATAAGATTAAAATTGACGTGTTTTCGTAAATTGTTTAACAAGTGTACAATAGCATTAACACCAAAAAAACTGTATTTGTTTTAGTACTAACAGGTAATTTAGCCAGTAATTTCTATTTAAACTAATCAGCTACTACACTATGGCCATGCTTTAGAAAAGCTATTAATCTCAATATTCAAGATTCTGCACAACAACATAGGTGAAGAAATTAAAAGTTGAAGCTAAACAACTGACAAAGGTACATGTTAATGGAATACTATTTTTGGCTGTCTTCCCAAAATCTTATAAAGCTTTCCTAGCAGAGTTTCAGCATTCTCTATTCACAGCTCACATTACTTTTATAAACATGGGCATACAGTGTAAATCCTACATGTTTGTAGTAAACATTACACATTCTAGAAATGGAGAACAATGTGATTGGTGAGAGTCACTTAAATAATTACTATGCAGGGACTTCTCAAATAGTCAATTCAATGGCACCAATTAAGGAGATGGGGATAAATGCCCCCACTAAGGGGTAAGAATTCTTGGCTTGACCACTTTTAAGCAGCAGTTCCATACTACATCAGTACAACTGCTGCTGGTGCAGTATGGAGCATCTCTGTGTCTGTGCAATCAGAAGGCTGCTAAAGCTTGACCTGGCTTCCCTTCCTCTGGCTCAGATAATGTTATAACATGTTATATGAAGAATCTGTTACTGCGCAGTAGAGCAAAGCAGAATCTGCCAACAACTCAACTTCTGGCAGCACCATCTCATGCACTTTATGGATAAAAGGGGAGGAGATTTGCCAGCTATGGCAGATCTTGGGAGGGGATGGACTCTAGTTTCCTTTCCTCTCACACTCCATGTTCTCACCATTTGTCCCTGCAAGAAATAGCTGAATTGGTTATCCTACATCATTCTGAGCCTCAGATTACAGACCGCCAACTACTCTGAAATCCTTGAAAGTACCACTGGGGAATGACAGAACTACAAATATCTACACCAAGTAAGGCATCTCCAGCAAAAAGGTTACATCTTTAAGTGGTTTATATTTTAAAAGGATGCGTCACCACTCATAAGGAGAAACTACTAAAAATCCCTGTCTGTAGTTTATAAGGTTAAAAAGAAACTATTTAAATGTGAAAGTAGAAAGAATTATACTGTAGGAGAAAGATGAATTGTACTGTAATAATTGAATAAGTTGAAGGAATTCTGTTTGTCTTTTAAGAGGAAGAAGAAAAGTATGTTAATGTTGATTGTAGGTATGCAGATCAAGGTGCTAGCCAATTTGGGCCTGAGTTTAACAGGAAGAGAAACATTAGGTGTTAGACAGAAAGCAATTCTAGATAATCAGGGAGATATAGCCAGGAGATTGCTGTGTGCTTGATATTGAAATGAAGATACTTAACCACACTAATAATGTGAAGTTTTGCCACACCCTTTGATCTTGTTAACTTGGCCTTTTGACTGTATAAAATCAAGGGGTTTGAACCTTGTATGGTACTCACATTTTCTGAATGCATTTTAGCAAAGCTTTGCTGAAATAAACAGAGCAGTCTGCCAAATCTGTGAGTCCTGTCTGACTTTGACATAAATAATCCGAGACAAAAAAAAAACCTCAATATCAAGTTGGTAGTTGTATCTATCAGTAACAAAAAGATTTTTAAAAAAAGCAAGGTGTTGTATTTACCTCAAACCCAGGACATTTAGTTACGGATCTACTTAAAAGTCCAAATATATTAAAATACCAAAATTAATGTAAGGTACTCCTGCCTATAGTGATGCCATGCAATCACAATATGATTATGGTTAAGGCATTTCATTGTTTGTGGTTCCAGATAAAAACTATTGTAATAAATATCAGTTTAATTTGTTTCCCTTTGTAGCACTACAACAGAGCAGCTTTAAATATACTTAGGTGTCCCAATTGTGAATTTTCATACTATAATTTATTTGGACTTCTTTTAACTGTAACCTTAACAGAGAATTTCCTGGGTTTATAAGACTTGGTTTAGGATAAAACTTAAACAATGAATGGTCCTGCAGCACCTTCGAGACTAACAATAATGTAGATGGTACCATGAGCTTTTGTGGGCACTAGGGATGTTAAATTGCAGGTAACTGACTAATCGAATAGTTGATGCATTTTGCATTGACTATTCGACTAGTCGATGGGTGTCTCTCTGCCTTTGAAGTGTAGAAACAATCCTAGGGCAGTTGCTACACTTTAAAGGCGAAAGCATCACGTGGAGCCCAGGATCAGTTGAGGAGTCCCCAACTGATCCTGGGTGCCACGTGGTGCTGCCATTTTGAAGTATCCCCTCCTTCCCCCCCACCTTTGCTGCCTCTTTCTGATAGAGGCAGTGAGAGGGTGGAGGGAGGGCAGTGACTAGTCAACAAGCTTGTCAACTATCTGATAAGCAAATGATTATCAGATAGTCAACTAGTCCTTCACATCCCTAGTGGGCACAACCCACTTCTTCAGATGAATAGTTACAACACCTTGCTAATATTAAATTACTCAAATTACTGTATTCTCTCAACAAAAAGATAGTTTTGTCTTTGAATCTCCTTTTTTATTAAGCAGAAATGTCATTCATAAAGCAGCTAAACAAGAAACCCAAAGAGAATGCTATTGTAGGATTTTTCTGAACACTTTTTTTAACCTTAAAAAAAATAAACGTATGAGTGCAGATTCCAGTAAAATGCAAAGCCGCAAGAGTCTCAGTCCTAGCTCATGCCAAGTCCATGAGTTACCCCTGCTGAGACTGCATTTAAAATGTAAGAGTACCCCCGTTTTTTACTACATTTAAAATGTAGAGCAGCGGAGGTCCTGGCTTGCGCCAGACCAGGACCTATCTCCAATTCATAACATAAGAACATAAGAACGGCCGTACTGGGTCAGACCAAAGGTCCATCTAGCCCAGTATCCTGTCTGCCGACAGTGGCCAGCACCAGGTGCCCCAGAGAGGATGGACCGAAGACAATGATCAAGCGATTTGTCTCCTGCCATCCCTCTCCAGCCTCTGACAAACAGAGGCCAAGGACACCATTTTATCCCCTGGCTAATAGCCTTTTATGGACCTAACCTCCATGAATTTATCCAGCTTCTCTTTAAACTCTATTATAGTCCTAGCCTTCACAGCCTCCTCTGGCAAGGAGTTCCACAGCTCTGCAGTTCAAATGTAGTAGGAGCCAGGCTGCCTGTGCACCCGGCTCCTACTACATTTAAACTGCAGAGCTGCAGTGGGGGTAGCTCCTGGTCCGGTGCAAGCCAAGACAGAACACCTTCCCTAATGGACTAATGATTAGTCAATTATCTGCCTCTTAACATCCTTAGTGTGTACAAGGATTCTTGCACTAGTGGCTACCAACCCCTTGACTCTTCGGCAGTGGACCACAGAGACTACTTTGCAGTGACAAGGGCACAGTAGCACAGTGCTGAAAAGACTTTGCCCAGCTAGATCCAATTTGTCAGTCATCTACATCGATACTGACGCTACACCACTTCATCCACTATCAATAAAGAACTCTAGCCCCATGTCGAAACTAGCAGAAAAAATATCACTGAATGCAGCTCTGGTTTCCACAAATCAGTAATATCTAATTAATTTGTGTATGTAAAATCAAAGATGCTGTAAGGTAAAGCAACCAAATTACTAGACAGCAGTGCTTGTAGAACAAGCTAACAGATGGCACTGATTTACTGTACAAGCAATGAGTGGCTTTCCCTCTTAAACCAAGTGTTATGAAGAAGGTCAACTGGCTCAAATTTTTCAAGAGCTAATTTTTCAAAAGGGAAGTTATATCATGTGGAAGAATTAGTTAAGGGATTAGCATTAGCAAAAAGAGCTGCCTCTGGAGCTGATCAAAGATATTGTTAAAGTGCATAAATTCTTCTCATTTGGCTGACTCAAAAAGCAAATACAAATGCATATATGCTCAACAGTTGTATTAAAGCAGTGTTTGCCAACTCTATTTTCATTTAAACAGAAGCCTTGTTTTCCAATTCACATTACCTCTGTATACACTAGCTAAGATACACACCACCTGTACACCCAAGTACTGCCATCTGGCAGAAACAGATCTCAATCACGGTTTCTAAAACAGCTGACAGCAATCAAATTCTTGAAGTTGTTTTCTACACCAATTCAGAGGTACCCATTGCCAACAAATATCTGCAATGAGTCAATTTCCAAAAACAGAGGAGAAATTAGGATTGAAACAAGATATATAGTATGAATTCAGATTATAGTCATTTAAATTGTAGTAATGTCCAAAATGTGCTGTTCCTATCACGGGAAGAAAAAAATCCCCATTCCAAAGAATGCAGCAATTTAGTTTAAAAATTAGCTACAGAGAATAGTTAAATTGGATTTTACAAAAAAAAAAGTTGGTGCTGGCCACTATAAAACAGAACACTGGATTTAGTGGACTCCTAAGTCCACTATCTGGAATCACAGAAATTGCCCCAATATAAACAGGCACTCCTCAAGTTTATTATTTACCCAGCTCTGTAGTACTAACTAATGATTTTTGTGTATGTATTTGCTGTGCACACTTCTAAGCAAAGTAGTCCCAAAAATTACATAATTTCTGAAGGGGCTACAGACTAAAGATATGGGTGTCTTTATTCTCCTTTTAATACTGGTTTTTAAATTGCTGGAACAAGAATGAGGCCTGCAATTTTGGTAGGAGGATCACATAGCATGCAATTAAAAAGCTTATATTTTTAAAAAGCTTCTGTGCAGAGAGCTCTGTTTCCATATTCTGAGATGTGAAGCTCACCCCCACAGGAGACTTCTCCCTACTCTGTAAAATGTTTCCTTGGCATGATTCAACTTGTCTGCATTTTCTGAATATTAAAATCAAACTGAATTTCTGCCCATCCTGCTCACATTCACCTAAAAAGCTTTTTAACGTCACTCCTGTTTTTGAAAACCAAGAGAATTTTTATTGAACTATCTTAAAACTTTGTAAGCGATCTGAAAGGTTTTTAAATTAATTTACAAAAGTAAATTGTGTGACCTGAGTAACTGATGGATGCAAGTGAAAAGGGCAAGTAAAATAATACATTGCACCGTGTATGTTAAAATATTAGTATTTAGTATATTTTTTAATATGGCAGATTTATAATACAGAACACTCACCTTAGAATCAGACATTACCATACAGTCTTAAACCAGACTTGAATGCTCAATATCAAACAGTTCCTTAATTCAGGATAAGTGTGATGTACTTATTAATAAAAAAAAGGATCTGTATGAACACTCAGATCCAAGAGTATAGTCTCTGTGTATGCAATATCTGCTTTGTGTGTGTGTGTATATATATCCATTTGTTAAATTGCAAGAACACAATCATACACCTTACCACTAATCTATTTCTTCTGCTTGGACCAAAGGCATTCTAAAAAATCTCCTGACTTGAAACAGCTGTCTTAATTTAAAAACTGCAGTCATCCCACCATTCTTTCCCTTTGTTCTTCAAATGTAGCATTTTCATCAAGTGGCTTGCTTATTAGAATGAGGATTTGGATCAGAAAGCATATTTTTAAAATCACTTTATTCAAACCAATCAAGATACCAAATGATTTTTTAAACCTAGCACAACAATCATTTTTAAGCAGTGGACCAATTAATGTAAATGTTATTTGAAATTTACAGCTTAAAAAAGTAGGTCATCTGAGTAAGCATATGTACAGTAGACTCCATAATTATATTAAACTGTAATACAGTGTTAGCCATCTGAAAAAACTCAGATGTCAAGCTGTATCAGATATCATGACAATTTCTTGAAATATCCTTGGAAAGCTTACAGAATTAAGTTTAAAGAGCTTTGGAGTCCATTTATTATAAATGAAAAGTCTATATATTATTGTGGGACTGAACGTAACTTCCTGGGGGCGGGAAGGAAGCAGGGTAGTCATGACCAGTGTAAACCGTGGACGCGTTACAGGTTCCACAGGACTATTTTAGTCCATATGGCAGACAAAAAGGCACTTTCAGGACAAAGTTAAATAGGTTTCCTAGAAAATATCTGGAGAGAAGGCAATGCAAATTCCCACCACTGGGTTCAACCTTTTGAAGTCATTTTCTGAGGAGAGAATCACTGTCTAGCTGACAACTTGGTCACAGTCTATGTAGACCCAGACTGTATAAAAGAGCAACTCTCAGATTCATGATGTACTTGTTCTGAGCAAACCAACTTTATAAATTTGTGACCACAGAAAAATCCCTTGGTGGGATTAAGAAAACTGATTACCTGCCAAAGCTCCTGATTAAACTCTCATAAGCTCATTAGCATGTATGTATATTTTATTTTAACAAATAGAATCATAATCATAGAGCTGGAAGAGACCTCAGGACATAGGTTCTCAAACCGGGGGGCATGAAGAAATTCCAGGAGGCATGAGGCAACCCAGCCCCCCATCAATCCCCCCCTCAGGAAAGAGCCCACTCAGGTCTGTCTGCTCAGCTGCTGGAACAGGTACAGCTCAGGCTGGCTGGGGTATATTTCAAAATGGCTGCCTTAAAAGGGCAATGCCTGCTCTGTTTTTAAAAGGGCAGGGCAATCTTTTTTTTTTTCCTCTCAACAAGTTTTGCTGCTATTGGAGGGGGGGGAGGAGGCATGACAGTTTCTCAAAAAAACAAAAAGGGGGGCATGATGCCAAAAAGTTTGGGACCCACTGCCTCAGGAGGTCATAAAGTCCAGCCCCCTGACCAAGGCAGGACCAATCCCAACTAAATCAACCCAGCCAGGGCTTTGTCAAGCCGAAACTGAAAACCTCTAGGGATGGAGATTCCACCACCTCCCTAGGGAACCCATTCCAGTGCTTCACCACCCTCCTAGTAAAATCGTTTTCTCTAATATTCAACCTAGACCTCCTCCACAGTAACTTGAGACCATTGCTCCTTGTTCTGCAATCCTTCTCCATCCTCTTTGGAACCTCTTTGAAAACAGGGAGGAATTGGCAGAGAATTTGAAAGTGGAAGGAAGCTTGGATGAAAGTGATCATGAAATCAGAGTTCATGATTCCAAGGAATGATAGAAGGGAGAACAACAAAAGAGAGAATAGATTTCATGAAAGCCGATTTTAGTAAACTTGGAGAACTGGTAGGTAAGATCCCATGGGAAGCAAGAGTAAGGGTACGTCTAGACTACATGCCTTTTTCAAAAGAGAGCATCTAGATTGCACTAAGCAGGTTGAAAAAGTGATCCGCTTTTTCAAAGAAAAAAAAAGCATCAGACTGCCTGGATGCCCTGTCAAAAAAACGGCACCCAGAACCACTTCTGGCAGGGCATGGGGGCAGCCTTTACTTCCAGATGCTGCTGCCTGCCCTTTGCAGAGATGCGTGCTTATAGGGATCCCCCTCGACAGCCGTTTCTCTGCTGCTGCTTCTGGCTTGCCTACCTCTGAGGGACAACAAAGCTGTTGCAGTGCTTGCTCTGGTTGCCCTGCTTTCTGGGACACTACAGCAGTTCTGTTTTTGGTTGGTTTTTCTGCTTTTCATCCTTTTTTTTTATATGGAGCTGGAGCTGCCCTTGGGCAGGTGATGGCCCCACACAGCCATGCTGCAAATTCTGCTGCCCCTCCATGACACTATCATGATGCTCGTAGGCCATCTGGACTCAGAACCCAGCCTTGAGCCCTTCGTCCAAGCTACAGCACCATTGACCTTGCCACCAATTTTGGAGGCTGGACACCAGTTCAGACTGGTGGGACCGTCTTGTTATGGATCGGTGTGACAACCAGGATTGGCTCTGAAACGTCCATATGCGGAAGTCCATGTTCCAGGAGCTGTGTGTTGCTATTGCCCTGTGGAAGCTGGCCACCCCCGACAGCTACCACTCAGTGGGATACCAGTTAGGTGTCAGGAGATCTACTGTCGGAGCCATCTTGATGGAGGTAAGTCACTCTCAGGAGACAGTCTGGGGGGGATGGAAGGGGACCGTCAGGAAAGGGCAGAGGGATTGGGAAGGGAGTGGCTGAAGCCCTCCTGGCCTCACCCTGCTCTGGTGCATGGGGGGTCTGCCGGGGGGGAGGGGGGGGGGAAGGGTTCCTGGGGGCTT